ATGGTAGTGAGTTTGGCTTTTTTTAAAAATTTCTCTTTACCTTGGCAATATAGGGCTTTATCATTCAAAAACAAACAAACAAAAACCTCTGCTGATTTGATAAGTAAAAAAAAAAATGGTATCTCTTTCTAACTGCATGTTTATTCTCACTGTTGTTGTTGTTGTTATTTGCCATAGCAATGTATTCTCACTACATAACCTAATTGGCTATTTACAGCCTCTATTTGTCATTTATCAGTTGCATATGGTCTCTTTTGACTTTTTTGTTTACACATGAGAAGAGGCAGGCTTTTTTTTTTTTTTTTCTTGTTGGTTCTTAAGAGCTCTTTATGCATTATGTTGCAAATTTTTTCTCTAGTATGGTACTTATAATTTAGCTTTGTTTTACTCATGTTTGAGACACCTTTTTTTTTTTAGTTAGGTACTAAAGTTTTTTTACTTTTATAGATTCAATATTATCAATCTTTCCTTTTATGCTTCCGCCTTAGCTTGAATCTTTTAAAGAACTTCTCTAAAAATCATGTATTTACCTAAATTTTTTTGCAATGTCTTTTATGATTTTATCTTTTATTTATTTGCTTTTACTTTTAACTGATTTATTCTTCAGAAATTTATTTTAGTCTCTGGAATGAGGTAGAGGAAATCATTTAATTTCTTCCTCTTCTCACTTATTTGAAATTTCTCCTTCATCTCATACTTAGATCCATTTCTGGGATTTCTATTTGGTACCCTTGAGTTTTTTTAATATCTTTTTCTGTCATTCAATAATTTTAATTATTATAAAATTTTAAAATACATTCAAACATATGGATGTATAAGAGTCTACTCATTATTTTTAAAATTACAAGCAACAAATTTTGTCCAAATATTTTTGCATATAATATTTAGAATAACTTTGCCAATTTCTAAAAAGGGACTGGAATTTTTACTAGGGCAATATTAAATATATATTTAGAAAGAATTGACTGTTTATGAGTATTTCCACCAAAGAATATGACATCATTCTCTTTTTCTAATTCTTTCTTTTTATGACTCTCAGTGAAATTCAGTGTATTTCTTCATAAGCATCTGTAGTTTTCTGGTAAAGTATAATACATATACACCTACTTCTCACTTATTGACTATCTTGTTATCCAAAAATTCACATTTACACAATAGTAAAAGATCTACTATCCAACTATTCTGTGCATTAATAACATGTCTGGCATAGCAAATGCTGAAGTACAAGATGAAACATCAGCTGTGATGGTTAAGAGTACAGGTCAGTTTGGCTGGGCCATGATTCTCAGTGGTTTGGCAGCTATGTAATGACATAATTTGGCAGTTATGCAATGATACAGTCATCCTTCATTTTCTGATCTGATACATAGTCTTCCTCCATTTTTGCATAATGTCAATTTTCATATAACGACCTGGTCTTTGGAACTTAACCATGTCAGTAAGTAAGGAGTGGGTAAAAATATACCATGAGCTGCCAGAAGAATGAACGAATCTGTTTTTGAAGAAGTACACCCAAAATGTTCCTTAGAAGTGAGAATGACAATACTTCATTTCACATACTTTGGATATGTTATCAGAAGGAACTAGTAGCTGGAAAAGGACACTATGCTTGGCAAAGCAGAGGGTGAGCAAAAAAGATGAAGACTCTCAGAGAGAAGGATGACACAGTGCCTGTAACAATGGGCTCATGCATAGCAATGACTGTGAGGATGGTGCAGGACTGGGCACTATTTCGTTCTGTTGTACCCCGGGTCACTATGAGTCAGAACCTACTTGATGACACCTAACATCAACAACAGTACACACACACACACACACAAACCAAAAAAACCAAACTCACTGCCATAGAGTTGATTTGACTCATAGTGACCTTTCCTTGGGTTTCTGAGGCAGTATC